TTGTTCCCTTGTCCCTGGGTTGGCCAACACCTCCTCCCTTCCCCTACCTCCCACACTCTCATGTCCCTCCGGGACCGTTGGCCCCTTTATTTTCTTCTCACACTGTTTGTCCAGCCTCTCTTATTTTAAGCTTTGAATGTCACTGCCGTGAACATTTACCCCTTGGATCTGGGTTACAGTGTCAGTAAGCGTGAGTGTGTTCCTTTTCTTGGGATGCATTGTCTCAGGGTTCTAGAAGGTGGAATTCCAAAGTCAAGGGACTGACTGGGCTGGGCTCCTTCAGAAGGCTCTGCGGAGGAATCTTCATAGGTTCTGTGTTGCTGGCATGGCCAGCTGTTCCTCCACTTGTAGCTGCGTGCCCCAGCCCCTGCCTTTGTCCTCCTATGATGTCCCTCTGTGTCTGCATCTGCCTCCTCTTCTCAAAAAGACACCAGTCCTATTGGATGGGGGTCCAGCGTCATGACCTCACCTTAAATCAATTTAGTATGCAAAGACCCTGTTTCCAAATATGATCACATTCACAGTCACCAAGGGCTGGAACTGTATTCAGAGCGATGCAGTTCAACGCCTGAGAACTAGCCTGCAGATCCACTCTTCTGTTTCTAGCATCTGTAGACATACAGGGCATCAGAGCTTTGCTAGAAATACATGATTCCTTGCAATCCGTCCTCACGAATCCTGATTTCTTCTGGACCTTTTCCAGGTATGCAGGTCAGTGGCAAGATTATCAGGAAGCACGAGAAGAGGTCATTGAGTCAATGAACGAGGCAGAAAAGAAATTGTCTGAGTTTTCATTACTGAAGGCCTCTTCCAGCCATGAAGCAGAAGAAAAACTGTCAGAACACAAGGTCGGTTTATTTATTTTGTGTGTATCTGCATGTGTGTGTTTCAAATGCCCTTTGGTGAACATTCGGGAATATTTAAAGATAACTTGAATTTAAAGATAACTTTTTGTGGTATGATGCATTTTGTGGTATGAAGAGCATTAAATCCTCTTCCTTACCCAGGTTTCTTAAATATGGAAGATTTTGCCACACACCATAGTAGTTAAAAATTTTAAAAAAGCAGAAAATAAACTTATGGCTGTCAAACCAATTCTGCAGTGGCTGGTAGATTCAAACTGCTGACCTTGTGGTTAGCAGTCTAATTTGTAACCTCCTATGCCACCGGGGATGCTAATAATAAAAAAATATATATTATTATTATATTTTATTTGGATATACTTCACATATCCTACAACTTAACCATTCTCTTATATTAAGAAGACTTGTACAATCACTACAATGATCAATTTCAGAACATTTTCTTCTTGTCCTCCTTGTCCTTAGCTCCCCATTTTCCACCCTCCCCTCCTCTCATGCCCCTAAGATGATTAGTAGTCTTAGGCCATTATCAATCCAGTTACTGTCTCTATAGATCTACGTATCCTGGCCTTCATATACAGAAAATCGTATGAAATACAGACTAGTCATTTTTAATTAAATAAGGGCACCCTGGGAGGTCTCCCACTGGAAATGCACAGCTAAGGTGTGAACAGTTAAAAGGGACAGAGCAATTTGCTTCTGACAAGACGCAGCGCTTCGTGAATTTCTGCAAGTACGGTCTGTTGCTAACTTAAAGTCATTCCACTAAAATTTAATAATTAATAAATGAGCTTCCCTGGTCTATCACAGCAATAGTAACAGCAATAGACTGAACTATTGAATTCATTTTACTTATAAACCTCCAGGAACAGACCTTCTCTGTCCTGTAGGGACACTTGAGGGCAGTGAGTGGGTGAATGTCAGTGATAGGATGCTGCCTTTAAAACATGGGACTTGGCCATCTAAATAACAGTTGGACTTTTGTTATTAGTTAATAAATCATAGTCACCTTGCCTCTTAAAAAAAAAATCAAACACCCTCAACAAGGTAAGGTGGGCACAGTGATGTGCTGCTTACCCTTAGACACGATGGGGAGGGTGGTGCAGGACGAGGCAGCATTTCGTCGTTTTCCATGTGGAAAGTAGAGTGTCGTTGGAAAAGGAGAAGGCCGTCAGAGTGATGCATTGACTCTTTGGCTGCAGCAAATGGCTGACACATGGCAGCCACTGTGAAGACGGTACGGGAACAGGCAGTGTTTCGTTTCGTTGTGCGTACGGCTGCTGTGGGTCGGAACTGACTGGATGGCACTTAACAACAACAGCAACAATACTGAGTTGGAAATGACTTGATGGCACCTAGCAATAACCACGGCCTAGCACTCAATGGATCAATGTGATCGATTAGTAAATAGTTGTGAAACTAAGCTTTGAGGGGAACATGGCTTTGCAGAGGTGGTTTTTGGAGGTAATGGGGAGCGTGAGCAAGACCAGGAAGACTATAAACAAGCCTCTCTATCTCTCTCACTGTTTCTCACACCCAGAGTTTAGTGTCAGTAGTTGACGCGCTCCATGACAAGGCTGTGGCCCTGGAGGAGAAAGCTTCCCAGTTGGAGAAAATGGGAAACGACACGAGCAAAGCCACCATCCACAGGTCGACAACCACTGTCTGGCAGCGCTGGACGCGTCTGCGGGCTGTGGTGCAGGACCAGCAGAAGATCTTAGAAGATGCAGTGGGCGAGTGGAAAAGCTTTAATAATAAGGTAATGCCTTTATGGATTGGCTAAAATGAACTTTTCCCTGATGATACTCTTATTTTATAAAGCAACGAGCCAACACCACCAATGAAACATGCAACTTTCTTCTAGTTCTTTAATGCTTTCTCCCCACCCCCGCTCCACTATCATTATCCCAATCCTACCTTGCAAATCCGGCTAGACCAGAGGATGTACACTGGTACAGATAAGAGCTCACAGCACAGGGAATCCAGGACAGATAAACCCCTCAGGATCAATAATGAGAGTAGTGATACCAGGAGGGGAAGGGGAAGATGGGGGGGAAGGGGGAACAAATCACAATGATCTACATATAACCCCCTCTTTGGGGGATAGGCAACAGAAAAGTAGGTGAAGGGAGACATCAGTCAGTGTAAGGCATGAAAAAATAATAAAAATTTATAAATTATCAAGGGTTCATGAGGGAGGGTGGAGGAAGGAGGGGAAAAGTAGCAAGGGCTCAAGTAGAAAGAAAATGTTTTGAAAATGATGATGGCAACAAATGTACAAATGTGCTTGACACAATGGATTGTGGTAAGAGTTGAATAAGCCCCCAATAAAATAATTAAACAAAAAGCAAAAAAAAATTTTTTAACCAAAAAAAATTAAAAATAAAAGAATTGTGTGAATCCTAAACCTATGGGCATGATCTAGGCCCAAGGAGCTAGGGCTAATGAGTGTGTAGGAAAGGACCAGTTAGTCTGAACTACAGGGAAGTGTGTGTGTGTGTGTGTGTGTGTGTGTGTGTGTGTGTGTGGACTCTCCAGCTTGCAGTTGGTGTGCACTTGACCTCTGTTGGATGGATAGAGCTGAGTGGACCAGACACAACCAAATGAAAAGAAGGAAGCTCATGTTACGTACCTTGCTGTTGTCAAGCCTGCAAAGCTTGCTCAAGACTGAACTGTACTTATTAATCTAGAAGCTCAACGTTCTACCTAGAATGAATATTCATATCAACTAACACACTTGTCTCATCTGAGTATTAGGTGGATAGGGATAGGCAGTTTGATAATTGGATATCTAAACTGGGCTAATGGCGTGTTGGCAACAAATGTACAAACGTGCCTGACACAATGCATGAATGGATGGATGGATTGTGATAAGAGTTGTACGAACCCCCAATAAAATAATTTAAATAAATAAATAAATAGCACGAATCCTAAACTGATGAGTATGATCTAACCCCAAGGAGCTAGGGCCAATGAGAGTGTGGGAATGGACCAGTTAGTCTGAACCTACAAGATTTTCAGGCGGGTCTTTAGTCTCAAAATGAGTCCAACAGGGAGAGTATCCACTGAATAGTTTCCACTTCTCCTGCTGGGTCTGAAGAAAAAGTGGGAAGAGATTGATAGGATTATATGATGCAGGTATGTGACTACTAGCAATATTGTAAAAATGTATAACTGTAGAACATGTAACTGAAAGGGTGGAGGGAGGTTGAATTTTTATGCAAGAAGGAAGCAATGACTAGAAGAGTCAGAGCACTCCTTTGTGTAACCAGAGCGCATCAGAGGTGTCATGTCCTTGGTGCTGTAAGTCAGTGATAGCGCAGATTTTCCCAGTTACCTTTGTACCAAGTATAGTAAAACCATTCTTCCATGGTCTAAAAAACCTATTTTACTCAGTGTTTCGTTGGCTTTATGGCATGGGCACCAATTCATGAAACAAAATACAACATAGTGTTGTTGTTGCTAGGTGGCATTAAGTCAGTTCTGACCCACAGCAACCCTGCGTACAACAGGATGAAATGCCGCCCGGTCCTACACTGCCCTCACAATTGTTCCTCTGTTTGAGCCCCTAGTTGCAACCACTGTGTCCATCCAACTGGTCAAGGGCCTTCCTCCTTTGTGCTACCCCTTTCCTTTGCTGTGCATGCTGTCCTTCTCCAAGAACTGATCTCTCCTGACAACATGGCCAAAGTATGTGAGACGGAATCTTGCCATTCTTGCCTATAAACAGGAGGTATAATATGCAGTTGAGTTCCAAGTTAGAGCCCAAACACTTCAGTGAGTAAACTAAGCTATTAAATTTTGAAAGCAGCACAAACCCATTGTGCCCCATTGGTTGGTTCCTGATGAAACATATTTACCCGACCCTGAAATATGAACTAAAAAACAACTTCCTTTGTTTGCCATAAGAATGGGTAAGAATTTCATTCATTTTCAAATCCTGCATTTAATGCCCTCCCTTTATTCATTTAGGTCCATTGTTGTAAGTTACCTCTGGCTTTGTAATTCACATTTACCACATTCACTTTGACTTAAATGTCAGAAAGAGCACCCTGCCTGTGTGGATTTCTTTGAATTTGTTCTTATGTTATGCATAGTCCCTGATTGATTGCCCTGTGGTTTTTCAGTGATTGAAGCTTAAGGCCCAGAATTAAATTAGTCTTTTCTTTCAAGGCCAGAAAAATCCTCATGCTCTTGCTTACAGAAAAAAGCCCTGGTAGCAGAGTGGGCTGCTGACCTCGAAGTCAGCTGTTTGAAACGACTAGCCATTCTTTGGGAGGAAGATAAGGTGGTCTACTCCCAGAAAAAGTTACAGCTTCAACCACCCACAGGGGCAGTTTTCCTTTGCCCACCAGTGCCGATATGAGCCTGAATTGACTCGTGGTGGAGAGATTGGTTTGGTTTTGGAGGTGTGGGACATTTAGAGGTTACATCATCATCATCATCTTTAAAGGGCCTCTAGGCATTACTAGGAGGCCTGACGGCACAATGGTCAAGCAATTGTCCGCTAAGCTAAAAGCCAACAGTCCAAACCCACCAGCTGGTCCACGGGAGAAAGATGCATCAGTCTGATCTCTTAACGACTGACAACTCAGGAGCCCTGTGGGGCTTTTTTTTTTTTTTTTTTTCAATCATCACCATGAGTCAGGAGAGACTCAATGGCAATGAGTTTGATCTCTTGCATTTATACATTTCTATTCAGCGTGACATTTATTGGAATGCCCTCTTTTCCAGTTGATTGCATTCTGAGCTTGATAGTATATCCATTTGTCATCAGGTCCAAAAGGCCACTGAAATGATTGATCAGCTGCAGGATAGGTTACCAAGAAGCTCAGCAGAGAAAGCCACCAAAGCAGAACTCATGATCCTCCTGGAAGACCATGACACCGTGGTTCTGGAGCTGGAGCAGCAGCAGGAGGCCCTCGGAGTGCTGCAGCAGCAAGCACTGAGCATGGTCCACGATAGGGCCAGCCCAGCAGCCCTGGGAGAAGAACCACCCGTCATGCAGGACATTGCAGCCATGCAAGATCGCTGCCTAAGGTAACTACCCATCTGTGCTCTGGACCCGAAGGGGTGGTGTGGGACAAGGGAATGCGAAGGAGGCTCCATCAAGCTCACTCACACTTGTGGGGGTCTGTTGCCATCACCCTTGTTTTTCACAATCACTGCCTGGACAAAGGCATACCTAGTGGTACTTAGGAAAACACTGGTGAATGAAAGCCAAGTTTACAGTCAAACAGCACAGGCAGACCCTACAAGCCATTTAGAAAGTCTTGAAAAATATGGCAAGGGAGAAGGACATTGGGCCTCCACTCAGGTACTCCCTCAACACAAGAATACTTTCTTCTAGTAAATTGGCATTCTATGATGCTCACCTTCCCGACACAACCGCTGAAGACAAAGC